TCACCTCATCAGGCGGCGGCTACATAAGCCACGCAAGCCCTGCCATCTAGGAGATTCCTCCATGAGACTGAGCACTAACTCGCCCTCTCATTTTTCCCACAGAAAGCAGCGTGTGACCGACCAGCCCCACAGGAGCACTGCACGGAACCTCTGCACTGGGAAGACGGAAGAGAGCACTCACGGCACCGGAGCACCTACCTGAACCTTTCTCACTAGCACCCATCACCCCAATAAATCCACCCTCCGGGTTATTGATTGAGATTACTTGTCGTGTGATTCTTCACCCCGTTACACTATTCTAATGGCCAATCCATCATTTTTTGGAGGAATTTTTTTTAATTTTTTAATAAGTATCGGTTTAGGCACTGGAACCGTTTTAAAAGTATCGATTTGTCACCGATATGGAAAAAAACCCAAACGATACCCAACCCTATGTGATACTCTCCAAAATGGTGCTATAGGGTGATGCAGAGGAGACAAATTGTTGAATAAAGTCATTATTTTTGTTTTCTTTGCGCACAAAAAGTATGCTCGTAGCTTCGTAAAATTACGGTTGAACCCCTGATGTCACATGGATTATTTTAACGATCTTCTTGCTACGTTTCTGATCCTTGATCGTGTAAGGACCCTTGCTGTCTATGGGAGGGTCAGAGAGCTCTCGGTATGCATCAGAAATATCTTAATTTGTGTTCCGAAGATGAACGAAGGTCTTACGGGTTTGGAACGACATGAGGTTGAGTAATTAATGACAGAATTTTCATTTTTGGGTGAACTATCCCTTTAACATAGTTAGGTCCTTACCTTATGGCGTTATTAAAAGCTAATTGAACCATCTTGCATCCCTTGCAAGGAATTAGTGGTAGACAAACATCCCGTTTTTGGATGTAAGTTTTTGTGGTAAACGTAAATTATTTGTTCAAGAACTCATACATAATTATAATAATCCAATCACAAACTATACGTTTGTACGGTACAGTATAAAGTTCTCTTGAGCACTTTTGTTGTAATAAAATCATTTATTAGTTCAAAGCTATTTCTGAACTGACAATCAAAGTAGTTTTGAAGTCTTACTTGAGCTGAGGCCTTCTTTGATCTGTCTGTCTCTCTCTCCCACATTTCTACAGCAGCCGCTGTCAGTCTGGGCTCTTGCCCAGGTCTGTGCCACTCTGATATTGCATTCAGACTCTTTCTCTCCCCCCTCTCTCTTTCTCACACACACACACACACACACACACACACACACACACAAACACACACACACTCGTATATTGCTGTACCCATGCCAAAGCTCTCAAAGTGCCAGCATGTGTTTCACGTCCTCTGATGCTCCTCGTGTCACCACAGCCTGTCTGAACGCTTCGTAATATCAATAATTGATGCTCTTGAGGAGCAGTAATTAAATTAGTTAATTATGCCGGTAAAATTACGTGTAATTATGAGACTGGAGGGTGTGTTTAGTAAATTAGTCCCGTCCATGCTCGCTGCTAAAGAATGCTGCCAAAATTGGTTCCTTGATGATTAGGTGAATATGATAGTTTGTTCTCGTTCTTTTTCTCTGGAATCAAATGTGTATGAGAGGAAATGTAATGATCTGTCTTATTTCTCTCCAGGCCCCCTTCACAGTTCTGCTTATATACAGTACACCAAAAGCTTAAAATATTCTTAAAGGAAAATTGGTGACACTTTCTATGAATCCTGTATTAAATAATGCATTATAAGGGTATTCTTAAAGGAATAATTTAGCCAAAAATAAAAAAATTGCAGAAAATGTATTCACACTCAGGCCATCCAAGATGTAGATGAGTTTATTTCTTGATCTGAACAGATTTGGAGAAATTTAGCATTACATCGCTTGTACACCAATGGATCCTCTGCAGTGAATGGGTGCCATCAGAATGAGAGTCCAAACAGCTCACTCTAGCCCGCCGTGTGTGACACTGTGTTTCATTGTGAAAGCGAAACTACTTTGTTTGATCTTCCAAAAGAGGACATGACTAGAAATCAGTGGTTAAGTTGTATTTACAACACTGTTCCAGAACAGTTCAACCCAAATATTCCAATGTGTCCAGCGCATTTTATGGAGGTTTTCTGATCCTGGCAGAGTAGACTACAATGCTGGCTGTTCTGACTCACAGACTGTAAGTCTGTTTTTTATATTTAAAGAATTTGCCACTGACGATTCAAACGCGAGTTTTAAGCAGTGTAGGAGTAGCGCTTGTTGTTTGTCATTTCTCCGATCACAAATGCAGACATGGTTTTATGTTTACGTGGCGCGATGCAACGCGTAAAAAGACTGTATATGTCATTATAATCCGTCCCCACTGGATGCAACAAATGCCTCGTTTATAATGGGTTTTAATGTTTTTGTTTTTTGAACCTTAAACCGCATAAACACATTTCATTACACCAAATACACAAAATAATGTTCTTTTTAGCAACATCATATGACCCCTTTAATGTATTATAATGCATACAAAATGCCTTTGAAGATACTGTACAGATCTTAATGTCAAAATATGAGATGTGTAATACATTATAACTATGGGAACTACAATCTATTATTATTTAAGTGAATATATCATGTGTTTTGAATCATATACTCTTAAAATTGATAACCACAAAAAAATAAGAATTATAATGTATATACATAATGTATATAACTTACGATTATTCATCAGTCGATACAACGTATTATAAGGTTTTTCATGCATTTACCATGCATTATAAATAGAGGCTTCATGGTAAGTGTTACCGAAAAGTTCAGCCATACTTTGACAGTTAAACGGACTCCAAAAAAACAAAAAACAAGACTGAAGTCATACACTTTTGCATATGTGACCCTGGACCACAAAACCAGTCATAAGGGTCCATTTTTGGAAACTTTTCAAAAGATTTGTACATCATCTGAAAGCTGAATAAATACAACTATTACAACTATTGATACAAAAGATACAACTATTTGAAAATCTGGAATCTGAGGGTGCAAAAAAAAATCAAAATATTGAGAAAATCACCTTTAAAGTTGTCCAAATGAAGTTCTTAGCAATGCATATTGCTAATCAAAAATTAAGTTTTGATATATTTACAGTAGGAAATTTACAAAATATCTTCATGGAACATGATCTTTACTTAATGTCCTAATGATTTTTGGCATAAAAGAAAAATCGATCATTTTGATCCATACAATGTTTTTTTGGCTATTGCTAAAAATATACCCCAGCAACTTAAGACTGGTTTTGTGGTCCAGGGTCACATATGCTTTTGTCATCTTTATGTAAGCAACAACAAACTGAAATTCAGGCATATTAGTTACATAAGCTTTGCTAAACTTTTTGGAGTGGATCTGACTCTCTGCCCTTTGCTGTAATATTGTGAAGATTAGAGGTTGTAATTTAGAGATGCATTAGAGATGCAAATCTCTAACCAATTTATATGAGATTTCTCATCCACACTTCAGATTCTTAAGATATCTCATAATGTCTCCCTGGTTTTTAATCTTTAATGTGATTAAACAAGTTGTCACATCATCCTTCACTTTTACAGCTCTGATTACTTTAGAAATTCAATTCAAGTGTTTGCCTCTAAATCATACTCCAACACCTTCCACTACACAGGCTGTGAGTCTCTCCTGAGTAGTGCCAACGAAAAATAACCTGATTTCACATATGAGAACTTATTTATCAACAGACCTACTTTAGTTGCATTAGTGGGCTCCAAAAATCTGATGTCACTATAGTGAAATTGCTTCCGTATTGCATATGCAGAAGTTAATACAGCTTTTTAAAATGACAAATTATACTATCAGCATAACAG